TCCCCCCTGGCTTCCCCTCACTCCTCTCCCTTCCCACTCATTATCCCTAGCCTTCTCCCTAGCATTCTCTCTCCCTCTCTCTCACACACAAGCCCCTTTCCGTGGCAAAAAAAGAAAAAAAATGGGTAACCCAAGAGGGCGGAGACCCAGGGGTCTGGAGGTCGAACCCAGGGAGGAGGAACCTGGGAGGGAAGATTGAAAGTTAGGGCTCACAAAAATGGAGGAAGAGTGGGGAAGGAAGCTATCAGAGCTCGGCAGGGCAATGGAGGAGAGAATAGCTGAAGAAAGCAGGAAGTGGGGACTACAAGTCTTAGCAGCAGAAGATAAGATAAAATGCTTAGAAGAAGAGCTAAAAAACCTGAAACAGAATAGAGAGGCAAATGACAGTACAGGCATGACATCAGGAACTTTTATACCAGTCACAGATGAGGGGGCTGTAGGGACTCAGGAAAAGATGAGTACAGGAAGACCAAATGAGAAGCCTGCAGTCAATGCAGGAGACATGACTTATGCAGAGACTAACAGTCAACTACAGTGGCAGGGAACAGCTGAGCAGGGAAAACAGTCCACTGAGCATAGGTGCTGCAGTAATGGCAGGTGTTGAGGGCAGGAACGTTTCGATGGAAGGAGCTAAAACAACTCAGACGATGCAAAGAGAAAGACAGTGGGAGGAGAAGAGGGAGAGGTCAGTGTTTGTCCATGGGCTCCAAGAAGTTGAAGGGGAAACCTATGATGAAAGAAACCAGGGGGAGAAGAAAGCGATTGAAGGTATCTTGAAAGCAATAGGTGAGGGAGACATGACCCAGGTGGCAAATTTTCGGAGAATTGGGTGGTTTGCGGGCAGAAGGAGACGGCCTGTCAAAGTAATCTTTAAGGCAGAATCAGCTCGAACCAGGATCCTGCAGGAGAAAGCACGGCTGAGGGACAATCCAGAGTACCGGAGAGTATACCTCGATCCTGAAGAACACAGCAGGAAAAGATGATACTGAGAGAGGGTACAAAAACGAAAGGAGGAACGGGAAGCATCGATGAAGACGAGCAGAACCAAGACTCAGGTGGAAGGACAAATACACCCTACAGAGACACCCACACAAGGACTCCAACCACAACAACCCCAAAGCAACTGAATAATCTCAACCAAAACCCACACACTGTTCCCTCTGCCCCCACCCCCACCATAAACCCCACCCACACTGTGACAACCCCAATGCAGCTGAACAATCTCAACCAAAACCCACACACTGTTCCCTCTGCCCCCACCCCCACATCACAAACCCCACTGCTACAGCAGCTCCCTACAGGCACTCTGCCCTCACCCCCCATCACAAACCCCACCCACACCACAAACCCCCATAGCCCCCCAGGGCTTCCACTCCCCCAACCCCAATATTCTCCCAGGTCCACTGTGATAGACAAGAAGCTGAAGGTATGGTACACAAACGCAGATGGAATAGCAAATAAATATGAGGAGTGGCATGAAAGAATCAACGAGAAGTCCCCGGACATCATAGCAGTCACAGAAACGAAACTCACTGAGACAATAACAGATGCAGTCTTCCCACTGGGATATCAGATCCTGAGGAAAGATAGAAGGAGCAGAGGGAGAGGAGGGGTTGCACTGCTCATAAAAAACCGATGGAGTTTTGAGGAAATGGAAGGCATGGACGAGATTGGAGAAAGGGACTACATAGTAGGTACAGTTCAATGTGGGGAACATAAGGCAGTCATTGCTGTGATGTATAACCCACCACAGAACTGCAGGAGGCTAAGAGAAGAATATGAGAACAACAGAGCAATGGTGGACACACGGGCTGAGGTGGCACGAAGAGCTCAATCGTGCAGAGCAAAGTTACTGGTTATGGGCGATTTCAACCACAGGGAGATCCACTGGGAAAACCTGGAGCCTCATGGGGGCACCAAAACATGGAGAGCCAAGATGATGGATGTGGTCCTGGAAAACCTCATGCATCAACACATCAGGGACACTACCAGAGAGAGAGGGGAGGATGAACCAGCAAGACTGGACCTCGTGTTCACCCTGAGTAGCTCAGACATTGATAACATCACATATGAGAGGCCCCTCGGAGCTAGTAACCATGTAGTCCTGAGTTTTGATTACATAGTAGAGTTACAGGTGGAGAGGGTAACAGGAGTCAAATGGGAAAAGTCAAACTATAAAAGGGGGGACTACACAGGTATGAGGAACTTCCTGCGGGAGGTGCAGTGGGACAGAGAAATGGTAGGAAAGTCAGTAAATGAAATGATGGAATATGCAACAACAAAATGCAAGGAGGGAGAGGAAAGGTTTGATCCCAAGGGCAACAGAAACAATGGGAAGAATAAATCGAGTCCTTGGTTTACCCGAAGGTGCAGGGAGGCAAAAACTAAGTGCATAAGAGAATGGAAGAGGTACAGAAGGCAAAGGATCCAGAAAAACAAGGAGATCAGTCGAAGAGCCAGAAACGAATATGCACAGTTAAGGAGGGAGGCCCAGCGACAGTACAAAAACGACATAGCATCGAAAGCCAAGTCTGACCCGAAACTGCTGTTTAGCCACATTAGGAGAAAGACGACAGTCAAAGACCAGGTGATCAGGCTTAGGAAAGAAGGTGGGGAACTCACAAGCAACGATCAAGAGATATGCAAAGAGCTCAACATGAGATTTAAGGTATTCACAGTGGAGACAGGAAGGACTCTGGGAAGACAGGACAGAGGGGGACACCAACAGGGAACAGACCAACAAGTGCTGGATGATATGCACACAACTGAAGAGGTGAAGAAGCTGCTAAGTGACCTTGATACCTCAAAGGCAATGGGACCGGACAACATCTCCCCGTGGGTCCTCAGGGAGGTAGCAGATATGCTGTGTGTACCATTAACCACAAACTTCAATACATCCCTTGAAACTGGGCAAATACCTGAGGTATGGAAGACTGCAAATGTAGTTCCCATTTTTAAAAAAGGAGACAGAAAAGAGGTACTAAATTATAGACCAGTGTCACTGACGTGTACAGTATGCAAAGTCATGGAGATTATCAGGAGGAGAGTGGTGGAGCACCTGGAACGGAACAAGATTATAAACGACAACCAGCACGGATTCATGGAAGGCAAATCCTGTGTCACAAACCTTCTGGAGTTTTATGACAAAGTTACAGAAGTAAGACACGAGAGAGAGTGGTGGGTTGATTGCATTTTCTTGGACTGCAAGAAGGCCTTCGACACAGTTCCTCACAAGCGACTAGTGCAGAAACTAGAGGATCAGGCGCATATAACAGGAAGGGCACTGCAATGGATCAGAGAATACCTGACAGGGAGGCAACAACAAGTCATGGTATGGGATGAGGTATCACAGTGGGCACCTGTGACGAGTGGGGCCCCACAGGGGTCGGTCCTAGGACCAGTGCTATTTTTGGTACATGTGAATGACATGATGGAAGGGATAGTCTCAGAGGTGTCCCTGTTCGCAGATGATGGGAAGTTAATAAGGAGAATTAAATCAGATGAGGATCAGGAAGGACTTCAAAGAGACCCGGACAGGCAGGACACCTGGTCCAGCAACTGGCTTCTTGAATTCAACCCTGCCAAATGCAAAGTCATGAAGATCGGAGAAGTGCAAAGAAGACTGCAGAGAGAGTATAGACTAGGTGACCAAAGACCGCAAACCTCGCTCAAGGAGAAAGATCTTGGGGTGACCATAACACCAAGCATGTCTCCGGAGGCATACATCAACCAGATAGCTGCTGCAGCACATGGGCGCCTGGCAAACCTGAGAATAGCATTCCGATACCTTAGTAAGAAATCATTCAAGACACTGTACACTGTGTATATCAAGCCCATACTGGAGTATGCAGCACCAGTTTGGAACCCACACCTGGTCAAGCACGTCAAGAAATTAGAGAAAGTACAAAGGTTTGAAACAAGGCTAGTTCCAGAGCTCAGGGGTATGCTCTACGAAGAAAGGTTAAGGGACATCGGAATGACGACATTGGAGGACAGGAGGGTCAGGGGAGACATGATAATGACATACAAAATACTGCGTTGAATAGACAAGGTGGACAGAGACAGGTTGTTCCAGAGAGGGGACACAGAAACAAGGGGTCACAATTGGAAGCTGAAGACTCAGACTAGTCAGAGGGATGTTAGGAAGTATTTCTTCAGTCATAGAGTCCTCAGGAAGTGGAATAGCCTAGCAAGTGAAGTAGTGGAGGCAGGAACCATACATACCTTTAAGATGAGGTATGACAAAGCTCAGGAAGCAGAGAGAGGTTCTAGAAACGATCAGTGAAGAGGCGGGGCCAGGAGCTGAGTATCGACCCCTGCAACCACAATTAGGTGAGTGCACACACACACACACACACACACACACACACACCACACACACACACACACACACACACACACACACACACACACACCTTGTTGGAACGTTTAAATGTTAGTTAGGTTCTATGTAAAGTTACGGTCAAGCTGTGCGATGAGAACCTTTAAGTTGGTGTATAATAATGTTAGGTGTAAACTTATCGATGTTAGGTTGGTGTTCACCATAATGTTGTTTACCATTGTCATAAAATTATAAACAATATTCAATAATGTTTGCTGTCCATAATATACCGAGTTTCTAACCATAATTCAGTTGCGTCATCCATAATATATCATCTTGCCACCCATAATACAACTAATATATACAGTTTACAAACACCTTTTATTTGGCAACGAACTTCTTTTTTGTTATATATTTTATGATATAACTGTCAATTTGGTAACCTTACGCTTGAGAGTAAATTTAAACCATGGTGGATCCCCAGAAGATCGATTCAATGAAGGTGCACAGTGCAAAGCATGTACGCTGGTCTCAGCTACGTGGAAGTCATATGCAGGAACTGTGGTGTCTCTCAGAGGTCATGTTTCACACTAACCTGAGGCGTCATGTATCCTGGTCTCCACTACCCGGAAGTCATGTGCACGAACTGTCTCTCTGAGAGGATGTGCTTCACACTGACCTGAGGGATCGTAGTACGGAGTGAGGATGGGCACCATCACGTAGCCCTGAAGAACATTTGCTTGCACGTTGCTATCTCCTTCTTGGCTCTCCACCGCCGGGCACTCTTTCTCCTGACTCTCCGACAGTAGGCTATCTTTTTCCTGGATGTCCTTGGCCTCGCTCACTGTTTCCTGGGTAACCATGGCCTCGCTCGATGTCTCCTGGGTAACCATGGCCTCGCTCGATGTCTCCTGGGTAACCATGGCCTCGCTTGATGTCTCCTGGTTGTCTTTTAAGCGGTAGTCTGTGCAGCCGTTACTCTTGAGACTGTCTGATGACGCGGCTGTCTGTGGACTGGTGGAGGAGCCGCCCTTCGTCTGTGGATTAAAGCAGATGAATGACTTAAAATGTCATGTTAATGAGCGAAACAGTAGTGCTGGGTATGAAAATACTCTTTTGATCATGTATATTCTTTTATAATAGCTGACGATATATTGATTCAACAAACTATCTTCACCCAGCTTAGAAAGGAAAGGCACTTTGTAATTGAGGCTGAACAGTTTTCTATAATTTCTTAGTAAAAATTATGCTCATACTCCAGCAATATGTCAAATTCCTACAACACTCGCCTCCACTGGCTCCGAACTAACAGGCTCTCAAATGCCTGCCGGTTGCTCAAGCCCATTCCTCACAAATCCCCCGCACACTAACCCAGTCTGATATGTCCCATACATCAATTCCATCTAGCTAATATTTACACACTTTTAATAAACCTAACTTACTCCACTCTGTGTGCAAGACTAAATTATTTCAACAACACTTCTTTCGTTCCCTTATTCTCCCCAAAATATTCACTCCACTGACTCATCATCATCATCAGCCTCCAGGGTCCTCCACGTTGCGACATTTCAAATGTTTTCCTCACTCCCATAAAATAGTGTTGGAACTATCACACTGATATATATATATTATATATATATATATATATATATATATATATTATATTAATATTATATATATATATATATATATATATATAATATTATATATATTATTATATATATAATAATTTTTTTTTTTGCATCCACTGACAAACCTTTGTCGACAGATTTTCCAACACATCTGCCACATGCTTTCTCTTTTATATTCTGTGACTCGCATCCTTCATATACAAACTGCAGACGCCAGTCTCAAATATTTAAATACTATATATTCATTTCTCCCATTCTCCTTCCTAACAGTCAAATCACCGACCTCATTGTTGCATTCACTTTGAGTTTCCTTCTTTCTTACCTTCTCTTCCAAACATGCCCACCAATTTCTATATATGCTGGGATATCCCAACAACACTGTCTCACCTGTAAACAGCAAAGATAGAAGTAATGAAGCATTCAGAACAGTATAGGATGGAGCAAGTTCGGAGTAGCGACGCCAGTGTGCAACCCACGTCAAAGAAAGGAAAATTAAGAAAGCGTAAAGTTTACCACAAGTATTGACAGTAACTGAGAAAACAAAGCTGGGAAGGAAGAAAAACAACAATAATAATAGTAATAATACTTGAAAACAGAAGTAGATCATTAGTATTTACGTTGACTGGTGACTGTGTGACTGAGACAGAGGTGGGCGTGATCATGGGCGCAGAAGAAAGGCTGGGCGTAATCATGGGCGCAGACGAGGAAGTAGTAGGCATGATCATGGGCACAGATGAAGCAGCAGTGGGTGTGACCATGGGGGGAGATATCTCGTGGGCATCAGAGGGTTCACCTTCGGGCGTGGTGGGCGTGGTTGAAGACTCACTCATGCTGGCGTACTGTGAAGACGAATAACATGGGTGTGGCGTTGGTGTGTGGGCTGGTGTGTGGGCTAGTGTGTAGGCTGGTGTGTGGGTGTGTGTGTGGGCTGTGTGTTGTGGGGTGTGTGGGCTGGTGTGTGGGCTGGTGTGTGGGTGTGGGCTGGTGTGTGGGTGTGTGTGTGTGGGCTGGTGCGTGAGCTGGTGTGTGGGTGTGGTGTGTGGGCTGGTGTGTGGGCTGGTGTGTGGGTGTGTGTGGGGCTTGCGTGGGTGGGGGGTGGGGGCTGGTTGGGGGCTGGGTGTGGGTGTGTGTGGGGCTGGGGGGTGGGTGTTTGGGGGCTGGTTGGGGTGTGGGTTGGTGTGTGGGTGTTGGTGGGCTGGTGCGTGAGCTGGTGTGTGGGTGTGTGTGTGGGTGGTGTGTGGGGCGGGTGTGTGGGCGGGTGTGGGTGTGTGTGGGGGCGGGGTGGTTGTGGTGTGTGTGGTGGGCTGGTGTGTGGGTTTTGGTGTGGGCTGGTGTGTGGGTGTGTTGTGTGTGGGGCTGGTGTGTGGGGTGTGTGTGTGGGGTTGTGGGGCGGGTGTGGGGTGTGTGTGGGGCTGGTGCTGGGTGTGTTTGGGGGGGCTGGTTGTGGTGGGGGCTGGTGCGTGGGTTGGTGTGGGCTGGTGTGTGGGCTGGTGTGGGGGTGGGGTTGTGGGCTGGTGTTGGGTGTTGTGGGGGCTGGGCGTGGGTGGGTGGTGTGGGGGTGGTGGGGGTGTGTGTGGGGGCTGGTGCTGGTGTGGGGGGCTGGTGCGTGGTGTGTGGGGGGTGGGTGTGTGAGTGGGGGGTTGTGGGTTGTGGGCTGGGCGCGCGGGTGGATGGGGGCTGGGGTGTGGTGTATTTTGGGGGCGGGGTGGTGGGGTGGTGGGGGGGGTTATGGGTGTAATTTGGGGGCTGGGGGGGGGGGGGTGTGGGTTGGTGTGGGGTTTGGTGGGGGGGGGGTTTATGTGGGTTGGGTGTGGGCTGGTGTGGGGGTGTGGGTGGGCTGGTGTGTGTGGGGCTGGGCGGGGGGTGTTTTTGGGGGGGCGGGTGCGTGGGTGTTTGGGGGGGCTGGTGCGTGGGCGGTGTGGGGGTGGTGTTGGGCTGGTGCGTGGGTGTGTTGGGCTGGTGCGGGGGGTGTGGGCTGGTGTGTGTGTGTTGTGTGTGTGGGTGTGTGTGGGTTTGTGTGTGTGTGTGTGTGGGGGCTGGTGTGGGGGTTGTTTTGGGGGCTGGGGGTGGGGTGGTTTGGGGCTGGTGTGTGGGTGTATGTTGGGCTGGGCGCGGGTGTTGTGTGGGCTGGTATTGGTGTGTGTTTTGGGCTGGGTTGGGCTGGGTTGGGGCTGGGTGGGGCGGGTGTGTGGGCTGGTGTGTGGGTGGGGGTTGGGGTTGTGGGTGTGTTGTAGGGCTGTGTGTGGGGGGGCGGGTGTGTGGGTGTGTGTGTGTGGGCTGGTGCGTGGGTGTGTTGGGGCGGGTGCGTGGGTGTGTGTGTGGGCTGGTGTGTGGTTGGTGTGTGGGCTGGTGTGTGGGCTGGTGTGTGGGCTGGTGTGTGGGCTGGTGTGTGGGCTGGTGTGTGGGCTGGTGTGTGGGCTGGTGTGTGGGTGTTGTGGGCTGGTGCGTGGGTTGTGTGTGGGGGCTGGTGTGTGGTGTGTGTGTAGGCTGGTGTGTGTGGTATGTGTGTGGGGTGGGCTGGTGTGTGGGTGTGTGTGTGGGCGGGTTTGTGGGGTGTGTGTGTGTGGGCTGGTGTGTGGGGGGTGTGTGGGCTGGTGTGTGGGTGTGTGTGCTGTGTGTGGCTTGTGTGTGGGTGTGGTGTGTGGGCTGGTGCGTGGGTTTTTGTGGGGGGTGCGTGTGTGTGTGTGTGTGTGGGCTGGTGCGTGGGTGGTGTGTGTGGGCTGGTGTGTGGGTGTGTGTGTGGGCTGGTCTGGTGCGTGTGTGTGGGCTGGGTGCGTGGGTGTTGTGGTGGGCTGGTGTGTGGGCTGGTGTGTGGGGCGGGGTGTGTGGGTGTGTGTGTGGGCTGGTGCGTGGTGTGTGTGTGTGTGTGTGGCTGGTGCGTGGGTGTGTGTGTGGGCTGGTGTGTGGGTGTGTGTGTGGGGCTGGTGTGGGGTGTGTGTGTGTGGGCTGGTGTGTGGGTGTGTGTGGTGGGTGGCTGGTGCGTGGGTGTGTGTGTTGTGGGCGGTGTGTGGGTGTGTGTGTGGGCTGGTTGTGGGTGTGTGTGTGGGCGGTTGTGCGTGGTGGTTGTGTGTGGGCTGGTGCGTGGGTGTGTGGGGGTGGGTGGGGGGGGCTGGTGGGGGTGTGGGTTGGTGTGTGGGTGTGGTGTGGGGCTGTTGCGTGGGTGTGTGGTTGGGCGGTGCGTGGGTGTGTGTGGGCTGGTTGTGTGTGGGTGTGTGTGTTGGGCTGGTGCGTGGGTGTGTGTGGGGCGGTGCGTGGGTGTGTGTGTGGGCTGGTGCGTGGGTGTGTGTGGGCTGGTGCGTGGGTGTGTGTGTGGGCTGGTTGTTGTGGGTGTGTGTGTGGGCTGGTGTGTGGGTGTGTGTGTGTGGGGCTGGTGTGTGTGTGGGCTGGTGTGTGGGTGTGTGGGGGCTGGTGTGTGGGTGTGTGTGTGGGCTGGTGTCTGGTGCGTGTGTGTGTGGGCGGGTGCGTGGGTGTGTGTGTGGGCTGGTGTGTGGGTGTGTGGGGTGTGGTCGGGTGCGTGGGTGTGTGTGTGGGCTTGGTGCGTGGGTGTGTGTGTGGGCTGGTGTGTGGGCTGTGTGTCTGGTGCGTGTGTGTGGTGGGCGGGTGCGTGGGTGTGTGTGTGGGCTGGTGTGTGGGTGTGGGTGTGTGGGGTTGGGGTGGTGGGTGTGTGTGTGGGCTGGTGTGTGGGTGGTGGGTGTGGGCGGGTGCGTGGGTGGGGTGTGTGGGCTGGTGCGTGGTGTGTGTGTGGGCTGGTGTGTGGTGGTGTGTTGTGGGCTGGTGTGTGGGTGTGTGGTGTGTGGCTGGTGTGTGGGTGTGTGTAGGGCTGGTGCGTGGGTTTTTGTGGGCTGGTGTGTGTGTGTGTGTGTGGGCTGGTGTGTGGGTGTGGTGTGTGGGGGCTGGTGTGTGGGTGTGTGTGTGGGCTGGTGTCTGGGTCTTGTGTGTGGGCGGGTGCGTGGGTGTGTGTGTGGGCTGGGGGTGTGTGGGGGGTGGGTGTGGGCGGGGGGGGCGGTGGGGTGTGTGTGTGGGCTGGTGCGTGGGTGTGTGTGTGTGGGCTGGTGTGTGTGGGTGTGTGTGTGGGGGGTGTTTTGGGTGTGTGTGTGGGCTGGTGTGTGGTGGTGTGTGGGGCTGTGGGGGCGTGGGCTGTCGTGTGTGGTGTGGGCGGTGCGTGGGTGTGTGTGTGGGCTGGTGTGTGGGTGTGTGTGTGGGGCGGTGTGTGGGTGTGGTGTGGGCTGGTGCGTGGGTGTGTGTGGTGGGGCTGGGGGGTGTGTGTGTGTGTGTGTGGGTGTGTTGTGTGGGCTGGTGCGTGGGTGTGGGGTGGGCGGTGCGTGGGGTGTGTTGGGGTGGGCTGTGTGTGGGTGGTGTGGGGGTGGGTGGGTGTGCGTGGGTGTGTTTTTGGGGTGTGCGTGGGTGTGTGTGTGGGCTGGTGTGTGGGTGTGTGTGGGGCTGGTGTGTGGGGGTGTGTGGGCTGGTGCGTGGGGTGTGGGTGGGGGGTGTGCTGGTGCGTGGGTGTGGTGGTGTGGGGTGGTGTGTGGGTGGTGTGTGGCTGGTGTGTGGGTTGTGTTGTGTGGGCTGGTGTGTGGGTGTGTGTGTGGGCTGGTGTGGGTGTGTGTGGGGGCTGGTGCGTGGGTGGTGTGTGTGGGCTGGTGTGTGGGTGTGTGTGTGGGCTGGTGTGTGGGTGGTGTGTGGGGCTGGTGTGGGGGTGGGCTGGTGTGGTGGGTGTGTGTGGGCTGGTTTTGTGGGGTGTGTGGGCGTGGTGCGTGGGTGTGTGTGTGGGGCTGTATGTGGGTGTGTGTGTGGGCTGGTGCGTGGGTGTGTGTGGGCGGGTGCGTGGGTGTGTGTGTGGGCTGGTGTGTGGGTGTGGTGTGGGCTGGTGCGTGGGTGTGTGTGTGGGCTGGTGTGTGGGGTGTGTGTGGGCTGGTGTGTGGGTGTGTGTGTGGGCGGTGTGTGTGTGGGCTGGTGTGTGGGTGTGTGTGGGCGTGGTGTGTGGGTGTGTGTGGGGGCTGGTGTGTGGGTGTGTGTGTGGGCTGGTGCGTGGGTGTGTTTTGTGGGCTGCTATGTGGGTGTGTGTGTGGGCTGGGTGCGTGGGTGTGTGTGGGCGGGTGCGTGGGTGTGTGTGTGGGCTGGTTTTGTGGGTGTGTGTGTGGGTTTGGTGTGTGGGTGTGTTGGTGTGGGCTGGTGCGGGGGGTGTGTGTGGGCGGGTGCGTGGGTGGTGTGTGGCTGGTGCGTGGGTGTGTGTGTGGGCTGGTGCGTGGGTGTGTGTGTGGGCCTGGTGTGTGTGTGTGTGCTGGTGGTGCGTGGGTGTGTGTGGGCGGGTGCGTGGGTGTGTTGTGGGCGGGTGCGTGGGTGTGTGTGTGGGCTGGTGTGTGGGTGTGTGTGGGCTGGTGCGTGGGTGTGTGTGGGCTGGTGCGTGGGTGTGTGTGTGGGCTGGTGTGTGGGTGTGCGTGTGGCTGGTGTGTGGGTGTGTGTGTGGGCTGGTGCGTGGGTGTGTGTGTGGCTGGTGCGTGGGTGTGTGTGTGGGCTGTGTGTGGGTGTGTAGTGGGCTGGTGCGGTGGTGTGTGTGGGCTGGTGCGTGGGTGTGTGTGTGGGCTGGTGTGTGGGTGTGTGTGTGGGCTGGTGCGTGGGTGTGTGTGGGCTGGTGCGTGGGTGTGTGTGTGGGCTGGTGTGTGGGTGTGTGTGTGGGCTGGTGCGTGGGTGTGTGTGGGCTGGTGCGTGGGTGTGGGTGTGGGTGTGAGATGGTAATTTCTCTGAAACAGCTGATAATGTTCTCAAAGAAAATATTAGTTAGACATAAATCACGGAGATCAAGTGTCACAGAGAGTGGAGGAGAATTTTATAATTCATT